TCCACAAACACAATGATCGACGTCCCTTCGACCAGCGCCGCCCTTTCGCATACGTGTGTACGTGTTCACTCATTTAACACCCCCTCCTACAACCACGTTAACCAATTTAGCCATCGACCCAAGTAAGTCGCAATTTAACACCCCATTTCACAACCACGTTAACCAATTTAGCCATCGACCCAAGTAAGTCGCACTTTAACACCCCGTTAACCAATTATATGGTCCGCATCCTCCTCAGTGTTCCCCCGAGGGAAGCTGCGGGCAATTTTTTTTTGTTTTACGCTTGAATGATTTTGCGTAAGCGTTCTTAAATGCGGATAAAAACAACTCGTACGCTTTGTCGCAGTCGCTTTCGTCGTACACGTCTTGCCAGCTTATGCGCGAGATTTCGTCGCGGAATTTATCAAGAGTGAATGGGTTAATATCTTGAAATGTGTAGTGCTGATCTGCCGAAGGATGCAAGGGCAACATAGGTGAATTCACAATGAGAAATATGGGCAAGAGGTCGCTGACCTGAGCCGTGATGACACCCGATTCAACGTTTCGTGCATCAATATTTGTGACGAAAATGTCGAGTAAACTTTCGCAGTTACCTTGGATACGAGAAGGTGTGGAAATTGCATTAGTGCATGCATTTGATTCAAGCACTCGTACTGTGCGTCTGCGAAGCGAGCTGTCATGAAACATGTTCATATTAATATCACCACCCAGAACTAGTCTGTAATCGTTATCATTAACCCAGGACAGTAGATTGTCAATGTATTCGAGAAAGTTTACCACGTTTCCTACAGGGGGGCGATATACTACGGAAAAAATTCTACGACCATGCTGAACAGTCAAGATTTCAAAGTCAGTAGTAGTGCGAGTAAAATCTTTCAACACTTCACAATGCAGGGTACTCTTAGTTAGCAGTAGAACGCCGCCTCCTTTTTTATCGCGTCGATTCAGATAATGCGTAACATAACCAGACACCTGCAGTACTTCGTCGTTGCGATACCATGTTTCACTCAACATTACAATGTCAAATGAAAAACCAAAAGAGGACGGCAGCGCGCTCAGATGATCGTCCTTATTGCGCGCCGATTGCGTGTTCAAGTGCAAGAAGGACGTACATTTGTTTTTCTTTGAAGAAAGTATTCTGCTAACGTCGCTAGGTGTGTGTAGTGTATCGGCCATGATGAAGGGCCGTAGTTGGGAAAACGTCTAATTCACGAGTGAGATCACTCCATTTTTTCCAAGGTCTTGAACGACAGATATGCGAAGTACACGTGAGTTGTCACTTTTCCGCGCGAAAACTTTGCCCTCCCGTGTCCACACGTACTTCCACTGCCTTTCTTTCGTGCTACAGCCTGTCCGAGAAGCTTCTTTAGCTCTGGGCACAAGTGTTCATTTATGAAAATGGAAGTGTCATCAGAGTGACTCAGATCAGTGGCAGATATGCGCTTTTTCCATGCTTTTTCGATGAAACCATCTCGCTTCGTACGCGAACGAAACTGAACGACAACATTCGGACACCCACCATCCTGTCGTGATACACGGTGGCAAACATCAACATCGCTGTCACAGACGGATTCACCTACAAGGCTACCAAGCTTCCCTAAAACTGCAGAAAGGTTTTCATTTTTTACAAACAGTACACCTTTAATTTCAACGTTTTTGTTTCTTGAATACTGCTCTTGGGTAGTCACCCTCTCTTCCAATCCAGCAACCTGGTGTCCAAGTTCCCGACATTTGGTTATTAAAGCAGTGTTTTCCTTTTTGAGAGAAGCGTTTTCTTTTTCAATTGCCGAACAGCGTGTCGCCATCGCATCAAATTGAGTGCTGAAAAAGTCAATAGGCTGTTTCATATCTTTGAATTCTTTTCTGAGTTCTTTTTCGATAGCTCTTCGCATGTCACGCAATTCCTGTCGAATATCTTTAAGGAACTTCGTGAGTTCAGAGGGCATCTGAGTACTGGGCATCTACACTCCTAGTTTGGCAGCAGCAGCGGAAAAAAGTTCCAGAAGGGGTATGAAAAGTCCTGCACAAACCTGCGTGTAGGATGGTCAGGATAAGTGATGATGCCGGTGCCACCGCCGTCGCTGCCAAAAATGCCGGTCAAGCAGAAGATGTGGCTCCTTTAAAGCCAGATGATGTGCGAATCCGAGGTCACGGGGACTGACGTCACTCAGAAAGCCAGGCCGAGGGTAAGCGCTGTTTGGACGGTATGATGTGGCAACGCACGAAGCATCCCGCGCAGACGCAGCCGTGAAGTCCCCAGGCAGCAGTCAAGTCTCCGCACGTGGAAACAGTGAACAGCCTGCGTGTAGGATGGTCAGGCTAAGTGATAATGCCGGTGCCACCGCCGCCGCTGCCAAAAATGCCGGTCAAGCAGAAGATGTGGCTCCTTTAAAGCCAGAAGATGTGCGAATCCGAGGTCACGGGGACTGACGTCACTCAGAAAGCCAGGCCGAGGGTAAGCGCTGTTTGGACGGTATGATGTGGCAACGCAGGAAGCATCCCGCGCAGACGCAGCCGTGAAGTCCCCAGGCAGCAGTCAAGTCTCCACACGTGGAAACAGTGAAAAGCCTGCGTGTAGGATGGTCAGGGTAAGTGATGATGCCGGTGCCACCGCCGCCGCTGTCAAAAATGTTCAACCCCACAAATCAATCAATTCTGTTGAATCTTCAAAAATAAAAGAAACATAGATGTAAAATAAGAGCAGTGCTTTTCAACGTCGAAAGACGATAACTTGAAACCAACCCCAAAGCAATTGGGGCTTTCTGTTTATCTTGCCCCGACGGTGATTGCAATGCAGCGCTTGAGTAAAGAACTGCAAGCGGTACGACGAAACGTGCTTTTTTTGTAAGTGCTGTATTTTTATCTCCTTTTACAATACTTCATATACAGATATCTGGACCGATAGCCTGGGAAGGCTCGTATATACAATCCAGTGTTGATATTACAGACATACATACATATAACAGATACAGGTTAGTGCAGTCTTTTACATATATACAACTACTTATCTTTCATTTTGCTTTCAAGGGATACAATACCTTATCTTAACCGACAAACGAACAATGGTTTTTACTAAGTGCAAGCTCACGCCAGCCACAGCTATCGCCGCAAGAAAGCTGGAACAGATGTGAGGTTAACGCGCTGTAGGAGGATCGTGTTGCCATACCGGATGTGCTCACATGTCAGTGGTGATGGCAGGACAGCGCACACTGGATCGTTAACAGCGCTGGTGGCATGCCCTCCACTGTCCGGCATTTGTTTGATGCTGATAGTACCTTTCGTAAAACGTCGGTTTCGGCATAAAATGTTCCCAAAATTCAGATTTCAATGTATTCATAAATATTAGTATGGAAAGATCGGCGAGTTGGTTTGAGTTCACGAGTTGTTTGACACAAACAGGCATGCCTGTCTATGTTCTCGCTTCTCGTTTATTTGTCTATTGCGTGCGCACCGAAATGTTTCTAAGAACGTTCATAAATAGGTTATTGTGATTGGGGTCAGTAATCAATCCGAAGCCTGTGTTAGCGAATCAAACGCTCTTTGGTATTTTTACCTACTTAGGTATCTAGCCGCTAACGTCTGGGTGGTCTCATAACTTCACTAAACTAGTGTAGATGAAGATTACTGTAGGATGGTAATAGAATTTGGCAAATGTGACAATCTGGTCCTGATTTAACTCGAGCAAAGGCGCTATGCAGGCGTAATAATGGTGTGATGTCAAGTGATGTTGTGCTCAAGTTTGTGTAGTTTTATACGAAACCAATAAAAACTAGCAATATCTACTCCTACGATACAGAGCCATGTCGTGTTGCGGTCAATGGTGGTTCCAGTGTTAGCTCGGCTCTCATAATAGTTCAATAAACATTGCATTGTTATAGCTATGATTCATCAAACTATAATATAGCATGGCTCCACCTCGAGCAATGCGCTAATTGAAGTTTTATACGATATTTACTCCGATTCCCTGTAAACTGCACATAGTTTCGATAAAGCTGGCGCATGTGGTCTAACGTTATTGATGACGTTTTTTTTTCTTTTCAGCGCACTAGTTGCCATTTAACCTTCAGTGTAGTTGACATGCCTCGCATGCCCGAGATGTGCACAGAAATAACTATACTGTATGTCGGTACACTCAGATCGTGAAGTTTGGCTGAACGCTAAAAAGGTAGATTGGAAATTGCTCACCAACCTTTCCGCATGAAAGCGAGACACACAATGCGTGGGATTTACCCAAGATTTTTTTAAGACATTCGAAACAGCATCGAAGCACCCTGTACATACATGGTCGCCGAGATTGCACTACTGGCGTCACAGAGTTCGCGTGAGAGACGCTACAGGAAAATCTGGTCCGATGAAGTGTATACCATATAAGCACCAATATGTTGGCACATTGGCATTGTTGTCGATGCAATAATATATAGAAATTTCAATTGTAGCGCCACTCAGCTTCACGCACTGTTATTGTTGCACTAGTGTTGTTAAGACTTGTGAACGGAAGGAAAATGTTGTATGTGTATTTCGAATAATTTTAAGAAACATTAACTGTTTCTTGATGCCAATTACCGCACGGGAAAAAGAACGTCTGTATGTGGTTGTGTGCAAGGCACTGCCATCTTCACGCGATTCGAGTCTGCGGCAGATTTCCCGGGCTCGCGTGTCTTGTTATTCGTACTGTTTTGTTGACAGAGTTCACAGAAGAACTCTATAGTTGGTACGCACTTTCAGAGGCCGTACCCATTCACGTCGCTTTACCAGGCGCCACCATTGAATCACGCTGTAGTGGAGGTCATTTCTATTCGAGATTGCTGTGTTTGAAACTGTGTTTATGTGAGAATTTTGTAGTGTGACTGCGGAAGTATAAATTATTATTTATTCCGCTTCGTGAACTGCCCAACGCTTCACGTCATCTTGCAGTGGGTGGAGGCTCCGCGGGATGCGTACTGGCCAATCGCCTGTCTGCTGACCCAACCAGAACGGTCCTGTTGATCGAGGCCGGAGGCATGGAGGACGCCTTTGCACAGGTTCCGCTGTTCGCACCACTGCTCATCGGTGACAAATTTGATTGGAAATACTTGCCTGAGCAGCAAGAAAACGCCTGTCTTTCCATGAAGGACCAGGTGTGTAGAGGATGGTGATACGTTCAGTTTTCTCTTTTGTGTTATGAAGTATATTCCAGTAGATGCGGTAGTAATGGCGTGTTCAATATTGCCACACGTGCAACTTTCTTGCTATTTTTTTTGTTATACCAACCCCGTACAATGTGACTGCTGCCTTGTGCAAAGCGCGCCAGAATGTCTCAGAACTAGACAGGCAATCTTCGAACCTACCGCTGAGATTGCGTGCACAACGCGATGATTAGTTCGTTGATTTGATTATTGATATGGAGGATTTAAGGTCCCAAGACCCCCCTCGATTGTGAGAGACGCCGTAGTGAACGGCTCCGGAAATTTCAACCACCTGTGGTTATTTACGTGCACCAAAATCTGATCACATGGGCCTACAACAGTTTCGCCTCCATCGGAAATGCAGCCGCCGCAGCCGGGATTCAATCCCGCGACCTGCGTGTCAGCAGCCGAGAATCTTAGCCAATAGACCACCGCAACTGGGCGAAGATTAGTTCGTGGACAGTTAGTTCTGCAACTTACGCGGCCGCTAGCGATAACGCTGGAATCTTTGATGATACATGGGTAAATGCTGACGCGCTTGAGTGTTTGTCAGTAATCTATCACCGGCCCAAGCTATACTCACTGTTATAAGTGTACAGCGTGCATTGTTTGGAGTAGTTTGTTTATATTTTTGCGGCCACAATTTTTGCCGAATAAAGAGTTTGCTCTTGGACACGCCGTCACACCTACGTCTAGGCCATGACAACGTGACATTTATACATAACTTCCGCATGGCGTTGCGTCCATCACCTGCGCCGACCGTCCGCCATTAAAAAGTTTGGGTTACTTGGTCCTCTGTAAAGAATGCGACCTGTGTTCACCTGTTCAAGCGTATTGATGCTGAAAGGCAGGTGTTTGGACTTTTTTCTGCGTATTACGATGGTATTATCGGTGCTGCGAGGACACGATACGAGGAGATCAAAATCTGCGACTACGTGGACACTGAGAGTCAGTGCGAAAGCGTTTACAGGAGTGGAGCTATTTGCGATGACAAAGCAGGTGGACATAAATGATCTTAGTGGCCAAATAACTCACCTTACAGCCGATGGTGTACAATCGGCATAGTAATTTGGTTGCACAATTGTTTTTGCAGGTCAGAACGAAAATTACGGTTTGCCTATTGTAGTAGCAATAGAGTTAGTAGAAAGTGGTTTGCTTGTAAATGTAATATAATCAGTCTCTCTGTCATAATTTTGACCTCATATATTCTGAAGAATGTGTGTGTTGGTGAAGTCGTCGTGCTCGGCTGCTGTCCCGATAATCACGGGAACAATCCCGACTGCGGCAGTTGAATTTCGATGGAGGCGATATGCTATAGGGCCGTATACTGTGCGTTGTCAGCTCACGTTACAAAACACTAGATGGTCGATGTTTGCGGACCACGCTTTTCTGGCATTGCTTATAATCATATGGTTAGTTTTGACTTGGGAAATCCTATGCAGTGTTATTCTGCCAGACGTCGCTGTTTGAATGCTTCTACCTAATTGGCCACAATATTACATGAAGCGCGTGGAATAAATGTTCCACGTTGCAAGATATTTCGAAGAAATTGCCAAGCGCCTTCCTACAGTTCAGGTGTTCACACTTTCGTTCACAAGTGCATTTATTTTTTCTCTGTTCTGGGAGATTATTTCTAATAACGTGAAAATGCATTCAACGCACTTGCGTAAAATTCAGGCCAGGAGAAACCTCGTTGTTACTGCTTTCCGTTATATCTTTTCAGAGGTGTCCGTGGGCGCGCGGGAAGGCCATGGGTGGCTCGAGCGCCATAAACTTCATGTTTTACGTCCGAGGAAACCGGCGCGACTACGACATTTGGAGGGACAAATTCGGAGCGTACGGATGGTCTTACGACGATGTGTTGCCGCACTTCAAAAACATAGAAACGTCGAGAGTGCCAGACCATGACGGTGAGTGTCATCGTAAAACGATTTTGATTGAGCGAAATAATAGGCCGAAGAGGAAAGGGAGCAAGCACACGAAGTATCTACAGAACAATCAGCCTGTGCCCGGTCACTGTGAAGTCGGTACTGGACTTTGAGTATGCTTCGGTACGGGAATGGCGATCTTTTATTAAGGCAACCACTTAGAAGTAGATTCATGCTCCGAATGATTTGAGTCCATAGTCATTTGCGGCTAAGGATATAGTCGTTCGTTGCGTTAAAGAAGTAACAACCATCTGGCGCCAGAACATAGTACTTACGTGAGTGAAACAAGATGACTGGTGTGTATAGTGGTGGGCACACTTCACAGCATAATCATTTAGGATTAAATGCCGCTGCAAAACTAGGTTCTCCTACCGTGCAACATAACGACCAAATAAATTGCTGCTCACTAGCGTTGACTTGCAACAAATTAAAGCTGCCTCACTAAGGTGGCCCATGAACGAATTTCAATTGCTGACAACTGCACGTCTGTGGTTTCCTGTAAGTGATTAGTAGGTTCATGGTTAAGCAGTTATTGCTCATTTTAAGTGCCTGCGCAAACCTGCCTAAAGTGTTCCAAAGCAGTGGTCGCCACTTATCCTGCACACTATCCTGTTGAACAGTTTGATAGGTAGGGTGTATGGTTGCCGGACACCGTAAACCTGAAATATAAGTAGGTGTAGTTGGACATAAGCGGTATCAGAATAATTTGCGAAAATGTTGCCATTACAGACGATGCAACATTTGTCATTTTGTGAAAATTCTCCGGCCAACATGTACACAGTATTGTTAAATTGGTACGCACTATCACTTTGTTGTTATTTATTTAAAAATCCTCTCTTGAAACTTAGTGAAATGTCTTTCACTAACAGCAAAATATGTAATGTAGAAATGCCAAAGTAGTTAGCCAAAGAAGAGTGGAATTTTACACGCATCCGTGCTAATTATCTATTAAGAAGTTTCCCCAACATACGCACCAAATTTCGTGTTTTCTTCTTAAAACGTTTTGTTTAGGTTTTTTTTCTGTCCTACTTATAGCATCGAATCTGGGAGGTGGTGATGAGTAGAAGCCTTGTTTCTTTGTTAGCGTATGTTTATGGATGACGTTAGTCTGTATTGGTAATACGGCACGTGAAAGAGTCGGGAGAAGAAGTAGATCGTTTGCCAACCTTTAGTATTCAGAAAGACGACGGTGCTAAATGCATGACGGTACGTTTTCCGTGTCACTAAGTCAAAACGCTGCCTTGCTAGACAGCAATATTGCTCATATTACGGCATTAACATTAGGTAAATGGGTTGTCCACAATCGTGCATGGCGAGCAGAGAGCGTAGTGCGACTTCTTCAAAGTGTACCACAGCGAGTCTTGTAGGATCCTCCTTGTCAGCTAACCCATCGTTCCCACCACGGCATCAAGTGAGTGTAGTCAAATTATCCGAAGGAGTACAGAACTTTCCTACGTACTCCAATGCGGCTTGCGTGAGCTTCTTCACTGATGGGCGTCTTCAGGAGCAACTCCAGCGTGTACCCCGGGACCAAGACATAGCTGATAGTTCTGGAACTTACACAGACGGCCTTGGGTCATGACGTCATACTGATCAAGTGCCTGGCACAACATAGGACTAGTGCCTGCCACACTCAGTGTGAATGGTGGTCATTCGCAGGGCAGGTAAAGAAGAGTATTCAGTGAGCAGGGAATATTAAATCAAAGCTAGAATATGAAGAGCACTCGGCATAACCATGAACTGCAAATTCATACTGTTAAAAAAGCTGTCTTCTGCGATGCCATCCTGAATTATGAGTGTGTGAGTAGCACAACAAAGCTGATGAGCAGAGAATGACAGCAGGATTTTCTTATCTGAAGCACAAATCTGACGTCTCGATACATTTTTAGTGCAAGCATCACCACCTATTCACTTAAGAAAATCAAAGTTAGTTCCGTGATATCATTAGAGACAAGATCCTGCTGGCTTATATAGAATGATGTGCCAATGAAGTCACGTGCAGGGATATGTTCAGTGCCGTATGAAATTTTTCGGAGAGATCGAGGGAATATATCATTGACTCATTTGTTATTCAATAGTAAGATCATTTTTTCGTCTTAGTTTTATTCTGTTAATAAAGAGAGGCATGATATTTCATGAAATATTACCACAACGGCAATTCTTTTCAGTTGCCAGTGCTGTAGAATTTATTCAGTCAATCCGGAACGTCTGAAACTATTGAAAATACGGTATTTGTGGTTGCTGGTATCGTTGGTGGGCATAATGGCAATTATACTGGATAGGTGTGAAACGATAGTGGATATGATGGAAGCTGTAGTGGTCATAAAGGCCGATGACGGCGATAGTGAAAAAAAATGGTGGCAGACGGTGGTGGTGGTGGCGAGCCAATGGTGATGACAGTGGAAAATTCCGGGTGATGGTGGCCATTCAAAACGTTTTTTGTAGATGACCTTGTTAATAGGCTGGACCACGGTGGCATGATGAAAAATCAGATGGCAGTATGTGAAATCACTAAGTTATTCGTAGCGTTTCACTCTGGAGTGCGCAGTGGAATGTGTTTACGGTCGCAAAAAATCAACGCCGCTTATTATGCTTTCTAACAAGTTTTTTTTCTGTGGTATTAACAACGCTTCAGTTTTTGTGTAGCGTGGAATGTGGCCATGAATGTTCACATTTCGTGCACGTATACAACAGTATGACATGCGCGCTGTGGTGCTTTGTTGTGATGTTTAGAAGACTAGAGGTGTCGCTGTGAACAGTGACAGTACACGTGTTACTTCGCCACACAGTTGTCGAAAACTAAATGAGCTCCAGTTCACAATGACCCCTTTTAACAGCGTTCACTTGATGCCGCCACGCTAGAAACGCAACTCTGGCAATTCTCGCCGACGCAATTACTTGAGCCGTACTTTTAAGTTTACAAAGTGCGCGCGACGCCAAAATGCATAAACTTCTACCTTTTACATACGTCGAGACGAGTCCCAGTGAAATTGGCTTTCGCTTTTCGTTTCTATTACCATGATTTCCACAAAGGCCTACCGACCGAGCAGGTACAAGTGTTAACAGCGCCTCTGGGTTTCAGAATACACAATTTCGACGAGTAAGAACGACAATACAGCACAGCCGTGGCTTCATTTAACCTAAATGAAGCATTTTTATAGTGTACAGTGTCTGCGCAAGCAGCGATAAATATCAATGCGACGTGGTTCCAGCACTTCCTGCAAAATTATGCCTACCGCCACTGACAGCTGGCAGTTGCACTCGCCGGCACTTCTCTGGCTTTTATGTGCGAACACACACTTGCCCATTCATATGCTTACTGAACCAATATGATAGCATAATGTTTCCTGCTCTCAGCATTCGTTTGGGCTAAGTCGTTATGTAGTTGTTGCTGACGATAGAGCTTCAGCAGTGCGCTGGCACGACTGCGGTGTACGTTGCGCGAAAAACATCGCATTATTCAATCACTTGTGTAGGCTATCTATCAATAAGCCTAGAGGCGTCATAAAGCCTGAGCAGATGTCACCCTTTAGTTCGAGTGAGAAACAGATAATACACTTGACAGTAACCGCGGGTACACTGTACCTGCTCATCAGTCCACTTTTTTTTCTCGCGGCTGTGAATTGTAAGAAAAGCAGCACTGTAGCCATTATCGCAGTGGAAAGTGTTCCAGGCAGTAGTCGTTTCTTTTTAATAAACGTCCCACATTTAGTAGCAGGTGCATTTCATGTCTATCCGGAGTAAACAGCAAACAAAATTGAAGTTGAACGGTCAATTCGTAAGTTCGCTGGAGACATAACAGCGACCGAGGCTAGCGTGTTCTGTTGGAAATCCGAAAGTTTCACGTTCGAGTCCTCGTGGTCACGTTTCTTTTCTTTTTTACGTGTGCTTTCTGCTTCGTTTGTTATACAATTCTTCTTTTCATTTTTTAGTAGCTCTGACGCCCTTTCACGCTCCAGCATTGCCGGCACTCCATCATCCACCATATGCCACCATACACCGTGTTCCACCGATAGTTGCAGCACCATTGTCCACCGAAAAGGTGGACGGTGGAATGCACGATTGTTATGGAGTACGTTTGTTTTTCAATAGGGTATGTTAAATAGCTGGCAGCTATTGCCATGATGCATGATATAAAAGGAAATATTGAACTGTTGCAATGCAGCACGTGTGCATTCGCGGCTTGCGAAAACATCTTCCCGAACATTATGCAAATATTGTCAATAAAACCTTACACTAGCCGATCATTCTCGTTCTGTCTGGACTTCCAATTTTGTTTTGTGCCATTCGACCAGGCGTTATCTATAATGTCAAACCATCAAGGAAGGTATGTTTTAGTAAAGACGTTTTATTAGAAAAAGTAACCTCCTGGGAACGAAATAGCAGGGCCTGTAACTCTGACTTCTTGGTACATATAGAGTTCCTAAATAAATGTAGCAAATCAATGTCCTGGCATTTCAAAATGCAATGAATGTAGGGCGAGTTGATTGCTTGAAGGTGAACTCTAAAATATATACCGTGTGTTTATTGCTAATGCAGAATCTTATCGCGGTACTACTGGGGAAACACCTGTGGTGTACGCGAATTCGCATACTCGTCTGAGCGAAGCTTTCTTGGAAGCCTGCAAGGAAAATGGCTACCCAATCATTGACTACAATGGAAGATCACAGGCGGGTGAGTTCCCCTCCATGAAAGTATTATGGCAGAGGTCAAAAATATTACGATTGTTCAATGTTAGTGAATACATTATCGTCCACCATCACCGTGACATAACTACTAATCACTTGTTGTGAAGGTCATAACTGACTGGTCACTAGGGAGTATCATATAACATCCGCAGGTGTCTAAATAAGTACACTGACCACGCATGTAACGGCTGGCATATTACAAGGCATTCATTGTGTAGAGTGGGTGGGTGCGGGTGCATGCATGGTGTTTGAGGGGCGCGTAGTGAAAATCCAGGTTGTCAATATTATTTTGGTTTAATTCATACGCCCCAATGTGTACGTAACAGTGGAGTCATTGGTATGGCCACAATATACCTGAATGAATTGTTATTCGAGGTACACACAACACTATTGTAGCAAAAGCCAGATAAATGAAGCAATGTGAATCACCAATTTGCATATTTTAGGGTACTTCGACGTCCCCAACAGCAAATATTGCCACAGTGTTGTACACTTAAGTGAGTGGACGGGTTACGGCATCGTTGATTGCTTTAAATCAAGCAATTCACAGGATCATACGCCCTTCACTCTGTTATGGTGCTCTGTGAAGTCACTGTCTGTGCCTCTGCAATTAGGGCGTGTTTATTTGTGCCATGTATTTTAAAAAAAATCTTAGCATCGGTCGGTTGGCTGGTAGGTCTTTTCTGTGAAGTCAACCCTTTCTGTGAAAAGTGGTGAGCAGGGGTGTGATATGGGGAGAAGTGCGAGAAAGCGCTGCCAGTGTTAAAATTGGCAGGCTTGCCAGCTGTTTTAGGGGCGAAGCTCCTTATGGCGTGGCTTGTGCGTCCCTCGTAGTACGTAACCACCAGTGGCACATATCCGAAATAGCGGTCCTAACGATTTTGATCTCCAAGGTGGTTCCGGTGAGAGATTTCTTCTGTGCGTTGTTGAACAATAAAAGATAGTGCTCAATGCACATGTTAATGGCTGCTAAGGGGGAATGAGAGACAGGAGCATTCGGCCTTTAGGTAACGCGCACGCTGCGATCCCTATTAGCAGCTATTGACATGTACATTGAGCACGATCTGACCAAGAAAGGGTTGCTACGTTATACTCGCTGGGTGTAACCTCCTTGGTTTTAGAAAGATTTAGCAAGCGTTGGGCTGCATAGCCATGAATAAAGTGAACTAGTATATACCATGAACTCGTGGTGGTTAAATGTGGGAAGTAAACCCGAAGCGCAAGCCGTAAGAAAGTGTGCATGTGCCACCTCCCGTTTAGTCCTTGAAATGTCCGCTGGATGGCGGTGCTTCTATATGGAGAATATATAATGAAGAGATGCGAGGTGGTGGTAGTTGGAGTGCTGAATAGATGGACGAACGAACAAGCAGACAGATGCAAGGATGGACGCATTAGCGGACGCAGGCGCGGATGCATGGACGAACGCAGGGACGGACGCACGAACAGACGCACGCACGGACGGGTGGATAGACGCATGGACAGCTACACAGACGTACGCAGGAACGGACGGAAGCAAGAACGAATGGACGGACGAATGCTTCGCCCCACTCCCCATCATTCACTCCGTGGATATGCTGCCATTTTTAATCGTGTTAGATACTTGAATACAAATCAATAAAACGAGTAGTTATTTGTTGCAAAGTTGCGTTTTTGGTCGTGAATCGCTACTAGGGATAAATGCTTGTGGATGCAAAAGTCTTTACACGAGTAAAATTGATCTCGTTGCTCCTCTAATATGAACTGTAACTCCACATTTTACCATTAACACACACATTCTCGGCACTTTTCTTGATAGGTCTGTAAATAAAAAAAAAATTCTGATTGATTGCAGTGCCGTAGAAGCAGCACCAGCTCGCATGTCATCTGCGAACGAGCCACAGTTGGAGCTTATAGATGATAAGGAATTTTCAGGAGAAATGAAGGTTGTCGGTAACACCGACTACGGACGTATTCGCATCATTAGCACGCTTTCCGGAAACCAGCCGGCGTTAACGGAGAACGCCGAGGGAGCATTCGTTTAGCAGCTCAATCAAAATATTGATGTGTCTGAACAAAAAAATGCAGCCCTCCAAAAGACTATGTTGCTATAGCAGCTGTTTTCTCTTATAGGCTGCTCCAGACTACAAGCCAATATGCTCAACGGTGAGCGCTGCAGCGCTAGCAAATCTTTCATCACGCCTATCCTACACAGGCGAAATTTGCACATTTCGGTACACAGCCATGCTACCAAGGTGAGCTGAAGAGAGTGGTCATCGAAGCGTTGCATAAAATGAATAGAATTACTTTTGAGTGCCATGTGGTCTTTCGTATACTGCTACTCATTCGGGTTTTTTGGCCGGTTTGTACTGGTTGCGCTTGTATTTGAATGGGTTTTCACTGAAGAGTTATTATTAGGGTGAGAGCCTCAGATGCCCCATAAACGCAAAACCTGATCGTAAGCGTCAACACAATATGCAAATATCGCGCGATGAAGTCAGAACATGATATTACCATGACGTCTCACATCGTGAAAACTGGTGGCGTGTTGGTAACGTCAATACAGCGACACATAATGTTACGCCATCTCATGGCGTCATCACATGGTGGTCACTCGGTCAAAGCTGAGACGATCACTGAGATGTGCTTCAAAAGAAAGTGAGGTGCAGAAAGCTTGCAACGCCTTCGATTCTGGAGACAATTCAATTCTACGCCAAGTACAGCCGCGGCCACGTCTCTGTAGAGCACGCAAGCAGCCCGTTTTGGCTCTGAGTGGCAAAACCTTGAACCAGCACCGGGCTCTGATGCGGTCAGCCTCGCAACTAGGACACGAATGCTCCTGATACACTACTTCAGAGCCCGAAACTGTCTCAAGGTTTCACGCCGAGGAGCAAAAACTGGTTGCTTGCGTACTCTACAGAGACGTGGCCGCGGCTGTACAAAAATTTTTCATGGGCGAAGCGCCTTAAGGCGTGAGTCGTGCGTCTCCCGTATGTAGCAGCCACTTCTCGTTTTAGTCTTTGAAATATCCGCTGGATGGTGGTACATGTATATGATGAATATATGATGTAAACATGCGAGATGGCAGTACTTGGAGTGTTCACTAGATGAACGCGCGGACTGACAGACATACAGAAAGATGGTCATGCCGACGGACAGAGAGACAGACAGACAGACAGACAGACAGACAGACAGACAGACAGACAGACACACACACACACACACACACACACACACACAGACAGACAGACAGACAGACAGACGGACAGACAGACAGACAAATGAATGGGTGCATTAACGGACGGATGGATGGACAGACGAACACGGGCAGGGGATGATTCACGGTTTATCGTTAAAACCCTTTGAAGCTTCGCCCGACTCATCATAATTAATTCCGTGGATATGGTGTGATTTTTTTCGAAGAACGGTGGACAGGAGTATCAATACCTGGACTGGAAAGGCAAAGATCAGACTAGGTGGATGCTTGAGAGAATGAGTGACTTCTTTTTCTGAGAAATAGAATATGATATACAGGACTTTAAGGGCCACTAAAGAGCAAAGTGCTTTTTCTGCATATTTGTGAAGCACAGTTTCACAATACCAAAAACTCCTCTTTTACTGCAACAGGACACTTCCTCAGCGCGAAGACGCGCAAAGAGATTGTGTGGTTGGAGAAGCCACCTCAAGATTTCTGCCGCAAACACTCTGATGTCATCAATTTTCCAAGGTGTCTACTCAGTCCTGCATAGCTTGTAATGAATAAAATTGAAGTATGTTGTGATTTGTGCGTGCCATAGACATAGCTTCTTTTGCTTGTGCTTTTGAAACATCCGCCAGTCGAGCGAATTGTACTGCTCTGTTGACAGGGCCTTAATGGACTCAAAATCAATTTGTGCTCTCACTTCCCTCTCGCCAGTGAAATGAAGCCAAAAAACTTATACGTTTATTGGTCCTTTTATCATTAGTCAATTAGAACCACGTAAGGAAGAAAACATTCAAGAAAGTGGTAACACAGCCTCATCAACTTCGTTACAAAAATTAGAAGTCGTTGAATGGATGGACGATCACTGCTGTAGCTCATTTTGTAAAGCACCGGATGCGTTATAGAAAGGTTACATTTTCGGTCATTGATGGCGGTATTTATCTTTTCCTGTACTTTATTACCTTTACATTTGCATCACAGTGACTGGAAATAGCGTTGAAAAATGTTCTTTGACGCCAGTGTCTGTTGCTTTTCAAAGTGGTTCTGTCAACGAATAAAAAAAAAATCTCAGCTTCCCTTTGTACAAGTCGAATATGTGGCGTGACGTACAGAAAGATGTGAAAATAAGAGGTGGTACTGTTTCTTTTAAAGCCTTCCAATTAGTTTCCATGCTTGCTTCTACATGTCTTTTTAAACCACGTTCTAAGTATGAAAAATTCAGAAATATGAAAACTTCTGAACGGGACAGATGTAATCAAGCAATAACGCAAGCGCTGAGCCAGAACTAAACGAGTCAATTTGTTACGGTTTAGCGCTTGTCCCGTACCTTTGTCTGTTTTTCCAGGTGCTGTTCGATGGGAAACGTGCCTTCGGAATACGCTTTGCCAATAAGCGCAAGGTGTACGAAGTGAACGCTACTCGCGAGGTCTTGATCTCGGCTGGCGCTGTCGCTTCTCCACAGCTGCTCTTGCTGTCCGGCATCGGTCCTCGGCATGATCTGGAGAAGCTTCAGGTTTGTCCGAAATGTGCTGCAATGTTTTAGTGAAGGAGGTAAGAATGACGCTCTAGTCTAAAAATACATCGGTAATAACATATTTACCTGACACTATTCTAATACCCCTGTCACACGGGCACTTAAAAGTCTTTTAAGTAAGCGGTCTTTTTCCGAAAAGGAGTTCCTGACAGCGGGCACACGGCACAGAGCGAACTCCTTTTCAGAAGCGGTCTTTTTCGTAAACGGAGTTCGTCGATCTCTTTTATGGCTCCGAATGAGTAGCCTCGAAACCACTGGGCGCCAGCAATTTTCGAGTGGTGGGAAAAAAAGAGCGAATGCTCATTTTTCTGTCAACATAACTCTTTGTAAAAACAAATTTCATATCCTGCAGAAGGTGTAATGAACTCTTTTAATGGTTATTTCCTTTTCTACTCTCGTAAGCAACTACAACGCGTCGGCAATACCACGTGGTGACGCTCGGTCTCGCGCCGCGCCATTTTGCACAAGCGAGGAAAGCGTGGCAGTCGTGTGTTTGCCCGTCATTCAAGTGGTCCGAGTCCGAGCGTCTATGGCCAACTCCGCAGATTGATTCCGCGTCTGCCTCGCTTTCCAGAGCGAGAAGGCAGGCCGTGAGGCTTGCGATCCTCGCTTTTTCTTCCGTACGGTCGCCCATAACGTGTCGAGAGCAGCCGAGAGCAGCGAAAAACAAATACGGTAAATAAAAGCCCAGTGGTGCCAGACGGACTTGTGCACGTCGCTAGTTATGAGAACGCTTCCTTAACTAGTGCAACAAACTTTCACATTGGTGTTTCTTCATCCCTTATTTTTAAATTTATTTGAAGAAACGAGCAGTGCAACAAGTCTTTAATTTGTACATCGTGATACATCGTTTAATTTTCATTGCTTCTCTTTTAACTGCTAGCGCCACGCTTTCGCTAGCGTCTTCGAACGAAAATACTAAAAGGAGATCGTTGGTGCCGTGTGTCTGCGCCACAACACCTCTTTGTGAAAAGTCTTTCAACCTCGTAAAAGACCGCTTCCTTAAAAGACTTTTTGCGCGCCCGTGTGACACAGGTATAAGTCTTTTTATGTGGGTAACTGTCAGTCATAACGTTGAGAAAAAGGTTTCGGTGGTATTAGACCGTTTAGAGAGAGAGAGATAAAGATACAAGGAAAGGCAGGGAGGTTAACCAGACGCACATCCGGTTTGCTACCCTGCACTGGGGAAGGGATAAAGGGGAGAAAAGAGGTTGCACAAAGATGAGAAGGCGCACACAATCACGAGCACACTCGGTGAGCACACACAGTTCACAGGCGGTCGCTCAGGTTTGTTGACTTAAGGTATTGAAGCAGTGCTTTAGTTGCTTTCTGCGCAACTGAGGCAGATGCCCAAGGTCCTAGTATTTTCCGCACACAAAATGGTCCGGGGTCAAGTCGATTCAAAACCATCCGTAGCTGGCATCGCTGTGTGTCGTAGCAAGCGCAGCTGCAGAGGACGTGTTCGATGGTTTCTTCATCTCCGCAGTAGTCGCATGTAGGAGTGTCTGCCATACCAATGCGAAAGGAGTACACCTTTGTGAATGCAACACCCAACCAAAGGCGGCATAACAGTGTCGCATCGGAGCGGGAAAGTTGTGATGGTAGCTTTAGCTTTAGCGAAGGATCCAGTTCATAAAAGTGACACCTTTGGAAGCTGGTAGACGACCAGAACGTGCGTGTGAGATCTCGAGCCAGCAGGTAAAGTTGTCTTGCTGCATCATTCCTTGATAGAGGAATCGGGACTACACGGGTTTCTTCATGGGCTGAGCGGGCTACATCATCGGCTAGTTCATTTCCGGTAATACCGATATGTCCAGGCAGCCATTGATATATAATATCATGCCCTCGTGCTAGAGCTTCATGATGGCAATGTCTTATTTCTTGTACCAGTTGGTCATGGCTCCTCCTACGCATGGCAGACTGCAAACTCTGAAGCGCTGCCTTCGAATCACAGAATATGACCCATTTTCCTGGACGTTCTTGAACGAGATATTGTAAAGCAGCCCTTATAGCAGCAAGCTCTGATGCCGTAGATGTAGTCATATGTGACAACTTAAATTTGATTGTCATTTCTGCAGCCGGAATTACAGCGGCACTTGATGAGCTGCTGGATGAGACGGACCCATCAGTGTATATCTGCGTTCGGTCTAAGTACAACTCATGTAATAATAGCAGTGTTGCTTGCTTCAATGCTACTCTGGAGTGACTGCTTTTCTTTTTGATTCCCGGAATTTCTAGACGTACTTGTGGCTGGTCGAGGCACCACAAAGGGCATGCCGTTCTCGCAGCTGGCGTATATCCTGATGGAATGCTGTTTAGGTGCTTGGCTATGACGTCTGAAAACGTAGCACGTGGTCTTCCGGAAGGTAGAAGGGCCAAGTGGTGGTCGGGGACACGGCTAGCATGTCGAATGTGCGCTCTGAGGCAATCCACAGCTATATATGTCCTGACCGGATGGTCTTTGGCAAGCATGATTGTGGCATAAGTAGAAGCGCATCGGGGCAGTCCTAGGCAGATACGCAGTGCCTGACCCTGCAAACTCTCCAATGAATGAGTATTCGATTTGCAAGTGTTAGTCAGCACCGGCAAGCTGTAGCGCAATAGACCCAGAAATAGGGCCCTGTACAGCTGTAGCATGGAGGCCACAGAAGTTCCCCATGCTTTACCGCACAAGAATTTCATGATATGCACAATAGAAAGCAGTCTCTTCTTCAAGTACGCACAATGTGGGCTCCACGAAAGACTTCTGTCGATTATTATGCCCAGGAAACGATGCGTCCGTGCATATTTGACGCTCTGCCCATTGATGTAAACAGGGTATGGCGTCATTGGTTTGCGTGTAAACGCCATCAACGCGCACTTCACAGTTGATATATTTAGGCCTTGCTTCTGAAGGTAGGCTGTTGTGAGTGTTGCTGCCCGCTGTATTCGTGCACGCACCTGAGGGCGAGTAACTGCAGCACTCCAGAGGCAAATATCATCGGCGTATATGGATAGGCACACCGACTTTGGCAGAACCTTCACCAGACCAATGAGGGCCACATTGAACAATGTCGGGCTTAAAACACCTCCCTGAGGTACTCCGCAGTAGGTGTAATGTTGGGCAGTTGTACCCTCATATGTTTGTACAAAGAAACCTCTGCCAGTTATATAATCTTTTATCCATTGAAACATTCGTCCACCAACGCCCATCGCTGCGAGAGAAGTGAGGATGGCATCGTGAGCTACATTATCATATGCACCCTTCACGTCAAGAAAGAGTGCCACTGATATGCGCTTGCGACTTTTTTCTTGTTGAACAAATGTCGACAAATCAAGGACACAGTCAATGGAGGAGCGGCCCCGACGAAAGCCTGCCATGCAAGAAGGGTATTTGGTGTATCGTTCCAAGTACCACTCGAGACGAAATAGAACCATCCTTTCCATCACTTTTCCGAGGCAGCTTGCGAGGGCAATAGGGCGATACGCTGTCAAGTCCAATGGTGATTTTCCCGATTTCAAAAGTGGTATTAATCGACTAATTTTCCATTCTCGGGGAACACTGCCGCTGAGCCAGGAGTTGTTGAAGCATGTTAAAAGTTCTTTTCTAGCTTTTTGTCCAAGGTGTCCCAACGCACTATAAGTAATACCATCAGGACCTGGCGATGACATGCGCTTAGAAGCGACTAACGCACCTTCCAGTTCTTCCATGGTGAACGGAATGTCCATTTCTGGTAATCGCGTCTCAGGAACGATCACGGCGTCGATGCTCTCGTTCACAATATTCCCGGCAACTCTCGTGCAAAATTCTTCAGCCACCTCGAGTTCTGTTTTTCCCTGATGGAGTGCCAAAGCTTTAAAAGGGTGCCGTTGTTGTGGAGAGGAGCGAAGACCACGAACTGTTCTCCAGATATATGACAGCGGTTTATGAGGGTCTAGAGATTCGCAGAATGCTTTCCAGCGTTCGCTCTCCAGTTTGTAAATGCGTCGTTGAATCTTTTTCTGGAGCCGCCTTGCTTCCCTCAGATCGTAAATTGATCTTGTGCGTCTGTATCGTCGTTCTGCACGCCTTCGTATAGCTCGTAATTTTTCCAGTTCGATGTCAAACTGTGTAACTTTAGACGAAAATGGTAATTTACATTTGGACGCTTGCATAGCTTCCACTATGGTATTTTCCAGGCTGCAGGCGAGGCCGTCTTGGCAAGCGTTCTCAACACGCGATGCAAACATCGACCAGTCAGTGCCAATTGCAACACCGGAAGAGAAATTTTTTACGATACCATCAATAGTCACGTAGGTGGGTATGTGATCACTCCCATGAGTCTCAATATCGCAAAACCACTTAACTTTGTGAGAGAAGCACCGTGACACCAATGTCAGGTCAAGGCAACTGCCATACGTGAGACCCCGCAGATATGTGGGGGTACCATCGTTCATGATGGAAAGGTCGTAATCGGAAGCGAATGTAACAATGTTCCGGCCCCTGGCATTCATCCTAGTGCTCCCCCAAAGCATGTGATGGGCGTTGAAGTCACCGGTTATGATCCAAGGCCCATCGGTTCTCATTAGGATGTCTTTTAATCTGTCGCAGTCAAATCGCGATGACGGAGATATATATCCACCAATAAGCGTGAACGAAACTGCATTCTTCTTCACATGAAGACACACGTACTGATTGTCGTCATTTGAACTTATTGGGTGCGAAAGATAAGTCAAGTCTGTGCGAATGTAAACAATTACTTTGCTACGTTCTTCGCAAGCGGCTGAACAAAAAGCTTCATAACCGGACAATCTATAAGGCGTTGACACGTTTGGTTCACATATGACAAGTATAGGGAATTGATTGGCCCGAACAAATTGGCGCAAGTCCGAGATACGGGACTTCATGCCTCTGGCATTCCACTGAAAAATCGACGCACTTTTAACTTCAGTGCGGAAGTGGAGATTTTGTTGAGCCATTGTGCTTATACGAAGTTAGCAAGAACTGGATTCAGTGCATCCAGTATTTGCAGTGCACTCTTAGCAGACGGAGATTGTATGCTGCTCAGTAGCGTGCGAATCGTGGCAATTAATGATTGCACGATTGCAGCCACTTGCCTGTCTTGGTTGGAAAGATCTCGAACCGGGACGATCGCAGTCACTTGCCTGTCTTGGTTGGAAAGATCTCGAACCGGGAGCGTGGACTGGCCGTCATGAAGCTCCTTCGGTTCGCTTGATGCTGCTTCCCTTGGAAGTGCAGGCCACTCTGTCGCAGTCAGGGTATGCTCACTGGCTTTGTCCTTTACAGCCTTTCCCGCGGCATGTGGTCTGGGAGGTAAAGGAGGTGGTACTGATGAGGGATCACGCAATCGTGTCGAGGAGGTAGCGGGCGTCCTCGAAGACCGACGTCGACGTGAACGACGCCTTCTGACTTTAGCTGCGGCTTCTCAGTGAGATGAGTGATCGCGCACCATCTCCTTCAAGATGGCAATTTCCTTCTGAATCCGCGGGCAGTCCTTCGATGTGGCTTCATGGGATCCATTGCAATTAGAGCATTTCTTGACAGTTGCGACGCACTTATCCGCTTCATGGTGCTCGGCGCAGCGGTGGCATACCACCGAATTCTCGCAGACGCTGGTCACATGTCCAAGTTTCATGCATTTACGGCACTGGAGAGGCTTTGGAATGAAAGGCCGCACAGCATGTCTGAAGTACCCCACCTTCACATGAGAGGGGAGTGATGTGCTCTTAAACGCAATCTTCACACAGCGAGACTTGCCTAGCCGGGTGACACCAACAATTGGAGTATCAGTTGTTGACTTGACAAGAAGCTGTAAGTCCTTATTGGAAATAGCGACATCAATGTCGTAGATCACGCTGGTTACTACATCACATCCCAAGGGAACATGAGAGCGCACCGGGTTGCCGTCCAAGTCAGTTACACTGCGCAGAACGCCCAACGCACTTGCGTGCAAAACGTCCACCGCCAGTAGATTCTTTCTGGCGTTCACTCTTATGTCCGTGATCTCATTTGGCACGAGCGTTTCCAGAGACCTCGACACAGACTGTCTGTTAAGGCGTTTCATGCTGACGGTAGGAAGTGCAGGCAGAAACAGGATGGTAAAAGCGTTCGATTTTGGCGCTTCACTTACAGTTTGAATAGTTGAGGATGAGGATGTCCTCATGTTCCTTCTCTTCGCCTTGCGGCTCAGCACAGGTTGGAAACCGTCATCTGAGAAGTCCTCACTGCTGAGATAGTAAGCATGAGTATCTTCACTGTCGCTGTCGCTGGCTTGTCCCATCCGCTTCCTGGAGGCGGTCGCCGCTGACGCCGCTGGTGCCGGCAGGCGCCCGGGGTGGTCTACTTCCATCCCCTCCAAGGGAGCAGCGGAAACTGATCAACAGACTTAAATTACAACTGAAATACGCCGGAGTTAGCAGAAGCAGCTCCTATTCAAAACACACTTCTTCGTCTTCGTCCATTAGACCGTTTAAGGTTTCAAAAAACATAGATCCTGACTTTCACCAGTATCAATCATTGAATCTGTACCCAATTTGATTACAATTTCTGTAGCAGATGCAGAATCACTCTCTATATATCTTAGCTAATGTAGAAATTTGTCTTAAAAGACAATTTAGTGAACGGAGGACAAATAATGTTGCGTTGTTTAGACATTGTAGACTGAGTACTTCTTAAATGCTTTTTGCAGAGCTCTCATGCTTCTTTTCTCTTTTTCTGTATTGCCGTCATTATGAAAGTCTAGCACCCATAATTTAGCTTCTAAGCCCCCATAGCACAGAATATGGGTCAGGTAAGATCAGTTGCTGCCGAACAATGGTAGTAATGCAATTTACTTGCAACTGGATCGAATTGAGTTGTCAACAAGATTCCTGTAAACCTGTGGTACAGATTCCCGTCATCCGCGATCTACCAGTGGGCGAGAACCTTCAGGATCACATGCACGTCGATGGCATCGTTGGTACGCTTCGTCGACCGACCGGGCTTAACCTTTTCAGGCTTTCGACGGTCACAGACTACGCCTACAAGCGGTCAGGTAAGTACAGCTTTATGTCCGTAGGAAATGAAATATTAGAGCATTGTGCATTTTCCCCAGCTTACAGCATTAAAAAGAGGCGGACGTAGTTCGAAGAAGGTGACGACATGCTTTCATGTTCTTACTAATACATTGTGCCGCTGATCAAACTGCACACTTTTATGTATCATAACCCGTGAAAAAAAATTCTTTTCAGGCGCGCTCGTGCTCGATTTTGACGTAAAATCAAGAAAAACATATTGTATTTATTGGAATTATTACCCGCCAGAGCAAGAAAAGCTGTCTATTGCTCCTTATTGAACTTCAGACTAGTAATTGGAGTCACATCAGTTGCAATTTCAGCGCTCATAATCTGATACTTGAGATCATGTTCTAGTCAGGTATACCGAAAAACTCACGGATGGCCAAAATATGACAGCTCACTGTATTAGACATGCGCGTTCAAAATGATGGTTGAAGTTTAACTATAAATATATAAGTATTTGCTCAATAATCAGATGTCATGTGCTCTTATTGGCTGCTTACCTCAAATGCATAACGTATTATTTCCTTGCCATGTCAAGTGCATACGAGTGAAATTAACTATACAAAAGCAATCGTGATGTCCTGAGGAAACATGTGTTGTCAGGTCACTTTTTATGGATGTGTCTGTTTGTATCCACAACACTCAATGGGTATAATTTAAATTATCAGCGATTATTACTAGCCTGGAAAATTAAGATTTGCGGCTCCTTGCCTAGTCATCGGTTGCATTTCTCCTGGTCCTCAGAAAACTGCTGCTACCCCGTTACACTAGAAAAATCTGACAACACACTTCAATGGGCGTTTTGAATACTCTAGACAAAAGCTCCCTAACGTGCTGCCTTGATAGTTAGCCAGCAATGAGGCCGTGTTCACTGTAAATGAAGGTATACCTTAAACCATTGCCTAATATAAGTTGTCTTGGTAGAAATTTTTTATACCTAATGTGGTTGCTGTGTTGCCAATTATTTCCCTAAGCGAAGTAAAAAACAGTTCAGATGAGGTGCTATAGGATAAGCAGCCATACTTAACCTAGTGGTGCTCATCACGACATAAGCACGCTAAAAAACTCTGCTTGCGCCACATTTTGATAGAAAGTTGTGCTTCGGTCGTAAAGTGAGTGCTGGTGTTACATGAACCTTTGAGACGTTAGGGCAGTCAATGCGCTTGCTTTGCCCACCAAATGAACCCTGATCAAATTACGGAACGAAGCTGACCAACCTTGCGAACTGAACCCCGAACGCCGAATAAGCAACAGCATGTTTAATGCTAGCAATGAAACGAGCAGGCAATATTCGCAAAATGTTGTGGAATTATCTGAAGTCACCATGACTATTTGTAAGGCTATATATTTTCAGGCACAGATGCTGCAATTTCGAATAAACAAAAGTTTTAAGTTTATGAATACTTTAGCATACTTGTTCTAACCGAGCGAAAAGAGTTCGAAGACGTTTTATACTGTGTCTAAATGTTCGCGACTTAGCGAAGTAGTAGTATATACTGTGTCTAAATGTTCTTGACTTAGCGAAGTAGTAGTATATACAAATATACGCGTGCTGTAATAATTAACTCAGGAAATAAGAACTTTTACCCAAGCATGTATTTCTCCTCTTGTTTGCTTTCTCAGGTCCCTTATCCATTCCTGCATCCATCGAAGCCCTTGCGTTTGTCAGTACGTCATTTGTGAATGAATCACTGGAATTCCCGGACGCAGAGATCGCCTTGCAATCACTGCCATCTTCGGCGTTACCATTGGAATGCTACTTCGCAAGCATGGGTCTCCGGAAAGACGTAATTTTCAACCTGCCTCAGTCAATACCAGTGCATTTAATGCTCATAACATATTGGCTATTATGCATGATAGTAGTGTGTAGAGGAACGTTTCAATATGCTTGTTTATTATTAGGGAATAGCATCAAAGAGCTTTTTTCGGAAAAATTCTCTTGTCGGCGTGGGCGTCGTTGGTTGTAAGCGAAAAATTATCACCTTTTTTGGTACCAGACAATCGAGAAAGTTACAAATAACATAAACAAAATATTCGCGTCTGAAAAGTGAGAATCAATTCAATAATAATTTTTATAATAATAATAATAATAATAATCAGGATATTATGATGAGAGACACCATAGCGGAGTGTTCCGAAAAATTTGAACATCTGGTGTTCTTTACCGTGCACTGGCATAGCACAGCACACGGCTTTCTACCGGTTCGCATTGTGGTCAAGATCGAACGCACCACGTTCAGGTGAGCAGCCGAGCAGCCTAACTATTCATTTACCAAAGCGGACTGGATTGAACAGTGGCCATGGGTGTTCTACTACACAGCCACGCGTCTGCCTAGAAATGCACTGACAAAGAAAATCTTCTGCTTAGAAATGCAATGAAACTAACTGGCACACTTTCAGAAAAAAAATCTTTCGTCTCAGGTTAACAGCAGCCGTATCGTGCGTTGAAGTGCGATAGGGAGCGCGATGAACATTTGTCAAGCCGGTTACAGATCGATACATGAGGTTTCCCAGGTGGAACTAGTCATCTTCTTACATGTATTTAAGGCAGAAATACATGCGTCATCTTCATTAGGCGATCAGGGTACAAATATGCAGCCATTCTTGTTTCTTTCCTTTTTCATGAGAGAGGGAGTCAAACACGATAAATTGAGAGAAGGGAGGTAGGTCGACCCTAATTTTAGCACTCGTTTGCTAGATTGCACCTAAAAGAGAGAGAAAACAACAAAGATTTTAAGAAAAGTTTTTTTTCATGGCGTCTCTGATGTAATAATGATGTTTTGTGTCTTTTACAGCGAAAACGGTTTAGAGATCAAAACACGGGTCGCGCGCGGCACTGTGGTTGTCCGCCACCGCCGGTGTCCGTAACTAGTATCGATATTATTAAGAAAAAAACTCAGTGAACAAAACACCAAACACGAAATGAAATTTGATGCCAGGCCCGCTGCGTGCCAGCCCAATATTCTACGACTGAGTCATGCCGGTGCTTGGAACTTGTTTAGAAACTGGCCTTTGGCAGAAATATTGTCGGAGAGGGATTAATGATTCATATGTGAGGTTTAATTCCCCAAAACAACCATATGAATTTGAGAGACGCCGAAGTGGAGGGCTTTATAAATTTAGACTACCTGGGGTTCTCTAACGTGCACCCAAATCTGAACACACGGGCCCACAGCTTTTTCGCCTCCATCGAAAATGCCACGACCCCAGCCAGGATTCCACCCCGCGGCCTGCGGGTCAGCAGCTCAGTACTTTAGCCACTAGACCACCATGGCGGGGCGAGGTCGGGAAAGAAATTGTGTTGATATGAGTCATAAAGCGTTTTAGAAGATAAAAGAACAATCAGGCATGGCACAATGCGAATGGCGTTACTAGAGGGTTCTCCAGTGCTCTAACACATTAGAAAACTTGTTCTTGATCATCTAATAACTGCGGCGCATACCAAAAAGCTCAGACAGCCTCTAACGGTTCAAAACAGGTTTATTCCTATTCGGATGGAGGCGGCGGCCGAACTGCCGGGGGAAACGACGGTGACTCGTTTGCGCCGAGCGGGGGAAAAGGAGGAGTCAACATCTGGAAGCAGTTTCAGCAACCGGTCCTTCGCGGGTGCGCTCGTGACACATGGGTGCTTGAAACACAACATCTCCTCCCTCCTTAGCTTGTCGCTTGGAAGCTATCTGGGGGCCGCCATGGGCGCGTGGACGCTCTGGACGCACTAGGAAGAGAAGCCTCCGCTCGCTGGGTGTCGTTTCTCTTGTGTTCAGGGCCGGCGGGCGGCGGCGCCGATTCATCTGGTGCGAGATGCCAGGCTAAGTGGAACGAAGCTTCCGTCGAGGTGGCTGCTTGAATGGGAGGTTCCCTTGGCAAATTACCTAAACGGCGTAGCTGATTAAGGTGGCGGCGTGTGGCCTTTACACCAATGTCGACGAGCCATGACCGCAAACCTATGCGTTTGAGTGCCATCGCTTCAACCCAGCCGGGCTTTCTGTGAAACTGGCAGGCGTATATGCGCTGTCCACTTTCAATTCTCCTGCTATGCGGGAGCTTTTCTTCCTTCGACGGTGCTTTCGCGGAGGGCTCCGGGACAATTGCTGTCAGCTGGGTTCTCATTTCTCGTCCGAACATCAATTTCGCTGGCGTTTGATCAGTAGTGCTTTGAACAGTGTTGTGCTGTCTGAAGAGAAAGCGCGCGATGCGGCGTTGCATTGTCCCAGTCTGGTCTTTAGTAAGGGCGCGCTTTAGCTCAGCCACGTAGCGCTCGGCTTGTCCGTTCGTAGCCGGGTGGTAAGGAGCTGATGTAACAGACGAGACGCCGTTGTCGCTGTAAAACTTGAGAATCTCCGTGGACACAAACGGAGTGCCGTTGTCCGAGACCACCTTGCGCGGTAGGCCAAACGTTGCAAACAACGACCGCAGAGTGTCGATAACTGCTGCCGATGTCGTTGTAGCCATTTGTTTTGCCTCCAGCCACTTGGTGAATGCCTCTACAACCACCAGGAACGAACACCCTTCGATAGGTCCAGCAAAATCAATGTGCAGCGTGTGCCAAGGCGTGTCTGGTCTTTCCCATTCAGGAATAGGAGCTCTTGGCGGGCTTCTGTGGTTGCATTGGCAAGGCTCGGAATCGTGAACTGTAACGGCGTTTAAGTCATATAGTGCCGATGACGTTAGTACTCTTCGGCTTGTATCTTGCGTCTGGCCCTCCTGTGCGTCGAAATTGTTGTTCCGTTGCACTGAAGTCTTCGGTCCGAGCTGTTTGCGCTTCGAGATGCATGCCTTTTCATTGTGTCACAGTTTTTGGCAAAAATTGCAGGTCGCTGTCTTGTATCGACATACCTGGGGATCCTGCATGTCGTCGCATCGCCAACAGCGCTGTGTCTTTCGGCTTGATTTCGCCTTAGGCGTGGAATGTCCTGACTGCTGACTGGTGTGATGCACCGGCTCGACGTTCCGTCGCCTGTCCCTCTGCTGGTGACTGGCGCTCTCCGCTCGTTGGGCGATGTCGTAGGCCTTGGAGAAGGTGAGACCCGTCTCCGCGAACAGGCGTTGTTGTAGGCCTGCGTCACGCAGTCCGCACACAAAACGGTCACGCAACATAACATCCAAGGGGAGCATAGTGGTGTTAGCAGGTGTGGCAGTCGATCCTCCCTCCTGCGCAGTAGCTGCAGTTGTCGCGGTCAACGTCCCAAAATTGCAGTCAGCAGCGAGCTTTTTGAGAGCCGCTACGTATTCGGCCACTTTTTCGCCTTCCAGTTGGTCTCGCCGTTGGAAGCGGGCTCGACAGTAGACCTCCGATGGCCTTGGGTCATAGTGCTCTTGTAGCGCTGCTACGATGTCGTCGTATTCAACGGCTGCTGGAGTGCGTGGCTGAATCAGGGCACAGACTGTGTCGTATGTCTGCTCCCCACACAGTGTTAGCAGGTTGGCCCTCTTCATTGCTGCATCAGTGATGTTGTTAGCCTCGAAGTAAAATTGCAGGCGTCCAAACCACGATGACCATGATGAGCCGTTGAATTCGGGTAGCCGATTTGGGAGCCCGTGCGTAGCCATAGCTTGTAGCTTGTCAATGTCGTTGCGTAGCGTTGGTCCAAATGCCACTTCCTCGTCGCCACTGTTATGTCCGTGTTGTCGTCGGCCCATAGACTTAGCGCGTTGGGTCGCGGTAGTCCAAAAAGCTCAGACAGCCTCGAACGGTTTAAAACACGGCTTTCTACCGGTTCGCATTGTGGTCAAGATCGAACGCACCACGTTCAGGTGAGCAGCCGAGCAGCCTAACTATTCATTTACCAAAGCGGACTGGATTGAACAGTGGCCATGGGTGTTCTACTACACAGCCACGCGTCTGCCTAGAAATGCACTGACAAAGAAAATCTTCTGCTTAGAAATGCAATGAAACTAACTGGCACACTTTCAGAAAAAAAATCTTTCGTCTCAGGTTAACAGCAGCCGTATCGTGCGTTGAAGTGCGATAGGGAGCGCGATGAACATTTGTCAAGCCGGTTACAGATCGATACATGAGGTTTCCCAGGTGGAACTAGTCATCTTCTTACATGTATTTAAGGCAGAAATACATGCGTCATTTTCATTAGGCGATCAGGGTACAAGTATGCAGCCATTCTTGTTTCCTTCCTTTTTTATGAGAGAGGGAGTAAAACACAATAAATTGAGAGAAGGGAGGTAGGTCGACCTTAATTTTAGCACTGGTTTGCTAGATTGCACCTAAAGGAGGGAGAAAAGCAACAAAGAATTTAAAAGAAGTTTTTTTTTTCGTGGCGAGTCTGTTGTAATAATGATGTTTTGTGTCTTTTACAGCAAAAACGGTTTAGATATCAAAACACGGGCCACGCGCGGTGCTGTGGTTGTCCGCCACCACCGTTGTCCGTAACCGGTATCGCAATTTATAAGAAAAAAAACTCAAAGCAAAACACCAAACACAAAATAAAATTCGAGGCCAGGCCCGCTGCGTGCCAGCCCAGTATTCTACCACTGAGTCATGCCGGTGCTTAAAACTTGTTTAGAAACTGGCCTTTGGCAGGAATAATGTCGGAGAGGGATTAATGATTCATATGTGAGGTTTAACGTCCCAAAACAACCATATGAATTTGAGAGACGCCGAAGTGGAAGGCTTTATGAATTTCGACCACCTGGGGTTCTCTAACGTGCACCCAAATCTGAACACACGGGCCCACAGCTTTTTCGCCTCCAACGAAAATGCCACCACCCCAGCCGGGATTCCACCCCACGGCCTGCGGGTCAGCAGCTCAGTACTTTAGCCACTAGACCACCATGGAGGGGCGAGGTCGGGAAAGAAATTGTGTTGATATGAGTCATAAAGCGTTTTAGAAGATAAAAGAAACAATCAGGCATGGCACAATGCGAATGGCGTTACTAGAGGGTTCTCCAGTGCTCTAACACATTAGAAAACTTGTTCTTGATCATCTAATAACTGCGGCGCATACCCACTTCAGGCATAATTCTTCATCATCGTCAGCCACTGCTTAAACATTGCACACAATTCCTAGCATGTGTCTAGTGGATACCATGATTCTACTGAGCATGCCGAAAGATAGCATATGAATGCTGGACTACCACACAAAAATTACGATTATTCATGGCGGGCGTAGGTGGTACCCAGCAAGTATGCTTTAGCAGTTAGCCAAGGAGTGTTTAGTAAAGCCTCTTAAAGGCCGCTATTCCACACACACACACACACACACACACACACACACACACACACACACACACACACACACACACACACACACACACACACACACACACACACACACACACACTAAACATATTCCAATTCCCCGAATTCTCGCCGTCTCATCACTAACTTTCACCAGTCAAATTACGCGCTGTGTGGTGCTCCAAGCAGGACGCCCTTGTGCAAACCCACTCTCGCTACAGTTCCGCGGTGATTGAACCATGCTACTGCCACCTGATATCTGTGAGAGGATTCACGTGTCTCCGATCCCCCGTCACATGCACCCTGTCTATCGCGCACCACGGAGATGAGCCCGGGTGGCCAACTTACAAAAGTGGCGGGACGATCCTAACACGTACTTTACTGACGCGAGTCTCTACCATCGAACCACAAATAAGGTCCCTACTTTCGCTGCAGTTGTGACTAACCAACGGCGAACAACCACTGCAGTGTCCATTCTCAGGAGTTCAATTGCTATGGCTAAGCTGCGTCCATAGCTTTGGTCATACGCGCTGCGGAGGCCAAGTGTTAATCAGCATTTATTCGGACGAATCATAGGGCGCCTGTTATCTTCTCCTTGACCGTGTCTTACCGGACTGCGTATTACCCATGCTGGGGACGGCTGTAAGAACTGATCATGGTGTGACCTGGTGCCAGGCACACTCAAGAGTTGATGGGAACGAATGGGCCGACCGTTTGGCTCGAGGCGTTATATGCCGAGTCACGGACCACATCTCCCGGGAGAACACTTCGACACTTAGTGCGCCAAAAGAAATTCTCAAATTTCAAAGACCATGTAGACGAACTAAAGCTCCCCCCAAGTGTTTGTTTTCCTAAGCAAAGCAAGTGTTTGTTTGCAAGGGACTGGCGTCCCTTTCAAACAAACACTTGTCCACATTTACATAGATTTCACAGAATGTACCGTCACAGATACAGCGACACATGTGCGCGGTGCGAAGCGACACCGACATTGGAGCACATTACACATGAGTGCACACAACGTTCGGAGGCCTTCGTGTCGCCTCTGTTGAAAACCACGCCCCTGAATCGGTCGTGGGAGGCACGGCTCACAGAACTGAACATGGGAAGCCAACTGGCGACCAATGACCTGGCACGCCAAGCCAATGTAACTAGTGGGGCCCAGGAATAGGGGCATCACCCACAATAACCATACAACACTAGCATTGATATAAATAAATTTCTCTCTCTCTCTCTCTCTCTCTTGTTCACGTTCGGCATCACTACTACGAGGCTGCATAATTTTTTCTTCAATGCATTCCTTGTTAGTCATAAGCGCCATTACGTAGCTCCTAGACTTGCCTCCCTGCATTACGCCTCCCATGTTCTGGGGCATCATAGCCACAGCTCGAAACACGTGCTTCCACGTGTTATTAGTGCTCGGATTCACTCATTTCATTTAGTTGCTGCTTAAGTAAGGAATGTAGGGCGTGCGCGTTCAGAGAGGCGTGAGTGTTAACACAACCATATGCTGATATATGTTTCCTGTCAAAAAAAGTTCATTTTCGCCATAATTTCAAGCTTTCAAAAATTCATTGGGTTCCTTGTCCATTCACGCAGGGCGAATCAAAACAGAAAGCCAGCATCCTTTTCTTTTTCTTCGCAGTCAATGTATCAATACTGTCTCTCCTACCTCTGAACGCTTGCTGCGTGTAACCTAGTTTCGCATTGCGTCCGGGATCGGAGGCATTGCTAGCTTCCGGCAAATTGCCTTGTTTCTCACTGGGCGCGGTAACTTTGCGCGTTCCAAACTCTAAAGGAACACGCTCGATTGCGCTCGAGCGCAAAGCCTTTGGAGCTTAGGACACTTTTGTCGACTGCTTCCGAAGGCATGAAATCGTTAGAGGGCGAATGTTACGTCTTCAATGGAAAGGAACAAAGGGGGAAGGAGAACGCTCTTTATCGAAAGAGATAGCCGGAAACACGTGGATCTTCTGGAAGCGATGTCAGAGGCCGGCTCTCGCATAGGCTCTGGTGCACCGTCTCAGCTGTGAAGCGCGTATAACTCACTCCATGATCACGCACCGCAAGTCGCTTTGTAACGGTCAACTTCACAAGAACGCACTGCGTGTGCTAGGGCACACTCAAGCACCTGAACTGAACGACCCACTACCTTAATGAGCCGGACATTCTTTAGCAACTTAGGATGTCATGTGATGACGCTATTATGAAACGTGGAGTTAACTGACACCATGGTTACGACAAAATTACCTCGCAGATTTCGGTGATCTATGATGTTGCATGATGGCCTTTTAATTCTCTTTTGTTGGCATCACCGACTTTCATTTATTGTATTTGACGAGGCAACTAGTGTTCTGGCACTTATATAGGCTTCTTAGTTCGCATATAATGGGGCCACAGGTTTTTCCCGGAAAACCAGCAGTACCACTTGTATATCTTAAGTTTTGTTGAAAAAACTAGTAGTGATGTCAACTTTCGCCTTAGTTGGTTAATACGTTTAAACGGATGTTCACCCCACATGCCACTGTTATGGTCCGGGAAGAAAAAAGTGTGAAATGAGAGTGACCCTTTTTTTATGTAGACTAATCCAAATAGCCCTTATGATCCCTTATAATGTGTGTTCATACTTGCGCAGGTTTATAATCAATATTACCTGCCCAACAGAGGACGGCACGGATTTGCTTTGGCTCCTGTAATGAACAGGCCGAAGTCGCGGGGTTACGTTAAACTGAGGACCACTGACCCGTTTGACAAGCCAATCATCGACCCAAAGTACTTGACTCATCCTGACGACGTTAAAGCTGCAGTAGAAGGTGCGTGGCTTGAGATTGTAGACTGTAAAAGTGTAGTGGCGTGTACTTATTCTTCTTCATTCTCATCAGCCTGACTGCGCCCACAGCCGGTCAAGTGCCTCTTCTATGACTAATTATTTCTGTGCTATGCTTGCTGCTCCCACTTCATACCTGCACACTTCTTGCTCTCACCTTAACACCAAACTTTCTTTCGTGCGCCTGCCTTCTTTTTAAATTAAGTTTGTCACTCTTAACTATTGGTTATCTTGCCTACATGCTACGTATACCTCGTGTTTAGAAAAAGATTCGGAGTTCTAGGTACTCTACTAAGAGGGAGCATAAAGCCGTCCCGTGGGCCTCACATTTTATGACGCCCTCTTGACAAAAATTGCGCCATCATCTTAGATTCTACGGAAACGCGGCGTGGCATATCAAACGACCATTGTACCATGTATAAACGACAACGCAATAAATGCTCGCACATGCCAATTTCTTCATCATGATATTGACTAGCGTGTTCTTAATACATGTCTGTTAACTTGTTCATAATACCCGGTCATTCGAAGAATGCAGGTTTGGTCCTTGCATGTTAGTATATTTTGCTCCACTTTTCTTTCTCCACATTTACGTTACAAAAACGTCCACGGCAAAAAAAAGAAAAGTGTTCCACAATCGCGTAATGGGTACTCTCATCGCTAACTGATGCTCCCGCGTTTAATGCACATATATACACTATAATTGAGACGAAGGAATTACCGCCACTGTAACTCAGTTGGTAAAGCATCAGACGCGTTATTAGGAAGTTGCTGGTTTTCTTCCCACCGGCGCCAAGTTATCTTTTCGTCCAAATTTTTCTTCACATCTACATTACAATTCTTCCTTGGATATACTATAGAATAATATAATTTTATTGTGGACACGGTTAAATAAATATCACTTTTAACCACTCGACATGGCTGAGTTCAAACATACATGCGGATGACCAAGCTACAGGGATACAAAGGCTGTAGATATTGAGTGTATGACATAACAATGACAATAACTTTCCAGAGGTGCCTAAACTGTAACAGTTTAGTTTCAAAATATCAGCAGCAATGCGGAGCTCTTCTGCCATCATGTAGAAAAAGCTCATTTCTCACAATTTATATCTCTGTGGCAGGGGTGAAGATTGCGCTACGCCTTATGAAGAGCGATGCCATGCGAGCGGTAGGGGCGAAGCCTTGGAACATTCCTTTTAAATGGTGTCTCTCCGAAGGCTCGGTCTGGAGTGATCCCTACCTGACCTGCCTTGTACGCCACTTGGCTCACACCACGTGGCACGCCTGCTGCACGTGTCCCATGGGTATGGACGAAAAGGCAGTACTGGACCCTGACCTCAGGTGGGCTTTCTTTGGAATTGTCTCTTGGTCGCTTGCATACTTGAAAGTAAAACAGCGTGAATCAGCGAAAAACACTAGACGGCGAGGACACAGTAATGGACTGTGTCTCCCTCTTGTATCTTCTAGAAGAAAAACTTGGCCTAGTTGGTGATTTATTGTTAGGTAGGAAAAATGGTGCTTTAAAACGAACGAGGTACCTTGCGTCTACCTTTCAATAAATTTCCTCACCCTGGTCTGTTTTTAGGCCCTCTCTTTCCTAAGTATTCTTGTGTATCCGCTGAGTTCGCGCTGATTTTCCAAGTATGTACTGCTACTCGATCACCTCGCGACCCCACTGCATAGTAACCTTCATCAACATCCACGAAGTGAATAAATCGCGTGTCTGTGAGCTTCGCTTATGATTACTTCAAAAGGGAATGCGGCGTCCCCGCCGAACCTTTTGCAGCGTACGAATTTTACTTACCGTAAAATGCTAGAAGGGTGCGAACAAAAAAGTATAAGTACGCAGAGGGGAGGGTAGTTTAGTCGTTTACCTTAAATTAACACATCAATTAGAAGTTTTTTCCAACATGCCCTAGTGCTCTACCCCAAACTATAGCATGATTCCGTGAAGGAGCTCGGTTCACACAAATCTTGTACCAGTGAAGGCATCAGTGTTGTAGGTTGCGAGTGAAAAATCAGTGTCTTCCGTCAAAAAATGTCGAGAAAGATTCAAATAAAATAAAGTACAAATTATTTATTCGAGTGAGAATGTAACTTGTGCTTTCTGTTTGGCTAGCAGGTGCTCAACCACAGAGCCATGCCATTGCTTGCAACTACTTAAAAAACACTTTTTAAGAACTTCCTGTACAATGCGTGGATGGAGTTTCTTTACCGTATATAATGTTGTGGGGCAGTAGCGTAAAATTGCACAAGGCGTCAGAACACATTACTGGCGCAAAAAGTGTGTGGTTTAACGATGCCAACCCATTACGAAATTGGGAGCTTCGCAGTTGCATGTAGTACCATACGAACGCTTAGCGGGTTTTATTAAATTAGCTAGCCTAGTGGGTTTTCAGCAACTGCATATCCAGAAGGCATTGCAGGATTGTCAGTAGTCATTGTTGTTGAAAACAATCAATATTACGCATGCAAACATTTCCTAGTGAGGCATTCGAAGGCGATGGGCGATCAGCCCGATTGGTGTCCCCCAAGTTTTGAATTTGTTCAAGTGTCCGCATAATATGTCGAATTCATTATCTTTTAATCTCTTCATATTGCCTTCCTATTGAAAGCCCCTTTGTTTTCAGGGTAAGGGGTGTGAAGAATCTGCGCGTCGTGGACGCATCTGTCATGCCAACAATAGTGAGTGGAAATCTCAACGCGCCTACCATGATGATTGCCGACAAAGCAGCCGCCATGATTATTCAAGACAATCTGTAATTTATTTACTGGCTCATAAAGCACAAACTATGTTTTTTCTTTATTGTTTTTGCTAAGCGAACAGAACGAAGCAGAGACACTAATCTGATGAAAAGTTGGATTTGGTTATACGCCAAGTGTCCCAGACGTGGCGCCGACCATCGCAGATTCAGCCGATAAAACTGCAACGTCCTTTGCGTATCTTATGAAACATTGGGTCCAAATATTTGTTCCCGCAAAAATAGCTTTAGGACCGTGGTGCGCCGTCAAAGTTCTTTTTGCTCCCCTAAATTGTGCGCAATAGAAAAATGTGTACAAAATTCATATTTTTGCTCAACTTTGAAACTCTGCTGAAGCTACTAAAGAGCTTTTTTTGTGATACTGAACCCCATCCCGAAGTTTTTGTGTTTCCTTAACAACAAGCCCTATTGAAAAACGCCCACCATAGGAATGATGGATTCCACCATCCACCATTTTGGTGGATTATGGTGGTGGAAATGTTGGTGGCACATGGTGTATGATGGCGTATGGTGGAGCGGATGGTGGATGGCGCGCTCCAGCTGGCAATGCTGGAGCGCAAAGCAGCGTCAGAACCACCGTGACGAGCTGCCACAAAAGAAATAATAAAAATAATTGTATAAAAAAACATGTAGAAAGCACCCGTAAAAAATAAAGGGTGCGACAGCGCGGAGTCGAACTTGCCACCTCTGAATTTTGAATTGAACATACTAACCCCTGCGCCACGCGAACAGATGGCGCCATGGGTGTTAAAGAAGTAGTCAACTCACAAAGTCACTGTTTACCTTAAGTCTTGTTTGTTGTTTACTCGGGAGGGACGGGATCTGCACCTGATACTAAAATTTGCACATTTGATAAACATGAACAACTGCTGCGTGTAACAATTGCCACTGCGTTAATGGCAACAGCGGTATGTTTTTGTTACAATTTACAACCGCAAGAAAAAAACAACTCAGTGGACTGAGGAGCAGGTCGAGTTTATTGGCGGTTAATGCCAAGTTTATTATCCGTTTCTCGCTCCTTCCAAAGAACGATATCGGTTCATGCTTTATGTCGCTTCTATGCTCATTCGATTAATACGCCCACACAATTGATTTTGATGTTTTTCGCGCAACGCAGAGCGCAGTCGTGCCAGCATACCGCTGTTGCTCTGTCTTTAGGAACAACTACATAACGGCTTGGTCAAAATGAATACAGTGAGCCAGAAACGTTATGCTATCATATTGGTTCAGTAAGCATACGATTTGTCGTGTCTGTGTTCTCGCATAAGAGCCAGTGAAGCACCGGCGAGTGCAACCGGTGGCTGTCGGTGAGGGGAGGCGTACCTTTGGTGGAAGCGCTGCAAGCGCGTCGCATCGATGTTTGTCGCTTCTTTCGCGGACACCGTACACAATAGAAACAGCTTCATTTCGGTTAAATGATGCCCCAGCTGTGCTCTATTGTCATTTTACTCGTCAAAATTGTGTATTCTGAAACCCAGAAGTGCCGATAACACTTGTACGGGCTCGGTTGGTATGACTAACTTTTGGTGGAAATCATGGTGGTAGAACAAAAGCGTGAAATTCAAATTCACTGGGGCTCATCTCGACGCATGTCGAAAGTCAATGTTTATGCATATTCGCACGCACTTTGTTAAATTTAAGGTATGGCTCAAACAACAGAGTGTGCAAGAATTACCGGAGTTGCGTTTCTAGCGCGGCGACATCAAGTGACCGCTGTATTCTGCTCTAAAGGTTGACAGAGGCAATTCCGAACTGCGGCCCATTTATTTGTCGACAACTGCGTGCCCATGTAAAACATTTATTGTCATCTTCACAGTGACAACTCTAGTCTTCTAAACATCACAACAAAGAAACACATCGCGGATGTCGAACTGATGTAAGTACGTGCGCGAAACGTAAACATATTCCCAGCCACATATTCTATACTCCACAGAAATTGAAGCGTTGTTGACACCACAGGAATAAAAAAAAAACGTACTAGAAAGCGTAATGAGCAGCGTTGGTTTTTTGTTTTTTGACCCTAAACATATATCTCTGGGCAATCAAGAATGACACACTACAAAAATGTGATTTCGCATACTGTCATGTGCTTTTCCTCATGCCATCATCATCCACCATGCTTCCATCATGCCACCGTCATCCACCTTACTCACCAAGCCTTCCACCAAACACGTTTTGCCTCCCCACTATGAGCCGGCATTTTCCTCCGTCAGCACCATTGGCTTGCCACCACCACCATCATCTGCCACCAATTTTTCCACTCTAGCCGTCATCAGCCGGCATTTTCCACCGTCACCACCATTGGCTCGCCACCACCATCTGCCATCATTATTTCCACTTTCGCCGTCATCAGCCATTATGCCCACTACAGTTTCCACCATGACCACTAATATTTCTACCATATCCACTATTCTTTCACCATATCCACCAACGATTCCAGCATCCACCAACCCAGAATTTGCAATAGGGAGGGCTTTTAGAAAACACCAAAGATCTTCAAAGTTCGTCAATTTTTATACTAGATGGAACTCTCTGAGCACTCTTAATATTGTTGTGATTTTCCAGAAAGCTTATTTTCACACAAAAGTTTAGGGACAAAGAAGACTTCAAATGTTCCCCTATACTTTCGAAATCGGCAAAAATATGTGATTCTTTCCATATTTGATCGCATTTTTTGTGCTGATGCGATTAAGCAAAAGTTTCTCATGACGCTGCGTTTGAAAGAATATTTTGCAGTTGGCTAATATTTAAAGTTTAATACAATTTATTTTTTGTTTTAAGAAAGAACATAGTTTTTGATTTTGGACCTCAGAACGCACATTGCATTTCTTTGTTGTCGCTTCACCACAAGGCACGTGGTCACCCTTTCGGCTGACACTCGTCACAGGAACCACAACGTACGTGATGTATATCAGCGGCTAGGAATGGGCTGAAATTCTTGTTGCTTTGAAGTCAAAGTCATGAGTAGTGAGTTCTCTTTACGATGTGAGCTTGCTTGACGTGTCCATTGGGAAGTACGGAAGCAGCACAGCAGCTTGCAGTACCGTTCGCAGATTGGGCACAAATAGTACACGGAGACAGGGACAAATGAGGCACATTGTGCACACTTTCTTTCAGGTACACTGGTTGTACAGACAGCTCTGTGGCCCAATGTTCCAATGATACTGCAAGCTGCTGTAAAGATTCATACTACCCAGTGGACACGCCAAGCAAGCCGTCATCTTGAAGCGAGATCAATACTCGTAGGCTTAACATCAAATCAACAAGACTTCTGGCCCCTTACCAGCAACCTACATACATCTCGCACCTTCCCGCTTTCCGTGACGAGTGTCAGCAGAAAGGGTGACCACGTGCTTTGCAGTGAAGTGGCAACAAAGAAATGCCGTATGCGTTCTGAGGTCCAGTTTCAATAGTTTCTTTCCTGGAACAAAATTGATTTGATGCAACTTTCTGTAATACTTGATCGTGTAATGGTTTATCAAAGGCCGCATCATGAGTTTTTCTCGGAACACATCAGCCCGAAATATACGGTCAAATATGAGACAAATGGCATATTTTGGCTGATTCAAATTTTTTTCTGGACGATTTTAAATCTAGTTCTCTCCTAAACTTTTCTCTACGAAATTCCTGGAAATCACAATAATAATAAGACTGCTTAGTGAAAGTTCCACCTAGCATAAGAAAGAACGGCAAAGATTGCAGAATTTCGCGTTTTTTGTAAAGGCCTAGCTGGTAGGTAAACACAAAAATTTCAGAATGGTTTATTTGGATGGAAAGTCTCTTTAGTAGCTCAAGCGCAGTTACGATGTTGTGCAAACAAGTATGAGTTCAATATGATTTTTTGCGCACACTTTAGCAAAAAGAACCGAACATTGAGGGGGAATCGCGGTCTTCAAAAGTTTTTGGAGAAAAATGTTTGGCCGCAACACTTTATGTGGTATACGAAAAAGGTGTATGTTTTATCGGCAACATTCGTGATGGTTGATCGCCACGTATGGGACACTTGGCATGGATTGACTCTATATGACAGTCATTCGTAATTTTTTTTCATCTTACGTTAGATTATCCAAAACCCTACCTGTCAATTATTCCTTTTTGCTAGCCTAAGAGAAACATTATGAAAGTATTGTTGCAGCACCATTTTACCAAGAAGCATATCTCATGTTAAGGCAAACATCCCTGCCATAATTATCATTAACATCAGCTCGGAGTACTGTTACTACCACACCGACGAAAATGCAAAACACAACCTTCATTCTCATTTTCTCACCGGAAGTTCTGACACTGAAGCCAATTTAGTGGAGGAAATAGACTGTGCATACGTCACATGTTGGACGCTGTTCGATGCTGCTCCACCTTTTCCTGCTGTTTGTCTAAGCTGAAAATTTTGCTACCGTAAGCAATTGAAAAAAAATGCACTAAAAACTTAAAATATTTTTCGCAAATTGTGTAGCTTTAAAAACTAAAACTTACCCCAATACTTGAACTCAGTGGATTTCGTTTATTTCTTTAATTGGGTAAAAAGTGTAACTTCAAGGTAGATTGACTGCACGGCAAGACAATTTAAAATAGAAATAAAATGACACCAGAGACCTAACTGGCACATCATGAACAAGTGTTGCCGTCCAGCAGGAGAATAAACAAGTACGACAATTTTTTGTTTGGTTTCTTTTCTTGTCATTTTATACCACGAAGCAGAAGCCAACCAGTGAAAGCACAGAACATATAGTCCAATGAAGATTTTATTAAATCAGTCAATTGTTGGTTCTATTCGGGACCATTTTTATGGCGGTTATACACCTTAGAGGTCATTTTGTTGTGCACGTCATGACCCTACAGTCATCAACGTTAGCGACTGTACTTGTCTTTCGATAAATACGCAAGCATTTCAAACATTTTCACTTGGTTTACTTTGAGAAGACTGTCTAAAAGTCGCGCTGGTGAGATAATAAAGACACATCATTCACTTTGCTTATAACGTTTTTTGTAGTGGATGTTATC